GATTACCAATTGAGGTGTTGGAGATTACCAATTGAGGAGAAAGCTTGCCGCAAAACACATTTGGGTGGCAGTAATTACTCTTTGAGGAATTCTGGACTCCCCCCCTCAGAGCCAACTAATTTGGCATTTTTCATTTCTTTTGGTAGGTTGTTCTATTGCTTAACTACACAATTAGAGAATAATCTTCTTCTCAAGTCTGTATTGGATAGTTTACTTTTAATGTTCAAGGTATCTGTGACACCAAGATTCTGTCACAATTACAATATCAGGGTTCAATTCTCTGGTTATAGTAAAAATGTCATCAAAGTTTTTTACAATACTTCTTGCATTAAAATCCTTTTTAGATCTGGGTTGAGAGGGTTTTCTTCTTTCTTCTTAGTGGGATTTTCTCCCTCCCCCATTTCCTCCCTGTTTTCTCCTGATCTGGATTTCCTATTGTTGCTTGTTGGGCATGCTATCAATTAGAGACCCCGACCTAGTCTGCATTTGACCTAGACCCTGAATCTGGCTTGCTCTGTTTCTTGAATTTTCCTGATTTTTGCAAGCATTTTATCTCCCTTCATACCCACAACCTTCCACTCCCACAATAAAAAAAATCCTCCTCATCCATATCCATGTTCCTCTTCTCAGCTTCAACCTTTAGTTCATCCTCAACTTTTCTCTGAAGTTCGGTGAGGTCTGGACCCACATCGAAAAAATTCTCTGGTTTGTTGGACAAGTTCTCATTTTATCTAAAACGTCATTTTTCTTTTCTATGTTCCTAAAACCAATTAGCAATGTGTGTGTTGTGTTGCTTCCACTAGTTACTTTGCCAATCCTAGTGGAGAACTAAATATCTTCTTCTGGTTTAACACTACAACTGATCTCTGATAGTACTTTACTCACAAGTTCATAATCTGCTTGTTTCTTCTGGTATCCGTGTAGGTCTATTGCAGGCTCCTTCAGGTTATGAATGATAACATTTAACTTCTTGAGGCTCTATTCCATCTATTCAGCTATCATAGCCTTGGCTGCATCCTTATTGCCTGATGGCTTTAGTTGATTTACAGACTCCTGAATCTTTCCAATCTGGATTACTGCCTAGTCAACCATGTTAGTGTTGTTTGCAATACCCTCCACATTTGAAGCAACAAATTGCTGAATCTTGCTCACAGTTTTTTTAGATTAGTAAATCTTTGCTCAATTATCTTTTTAGCACTTTACATAGTTTGCATTTCTGTGAATGATCCTGCCCTTGATCTTTCATCTCAACCAGTAATTTGAACAGATTATTGGACATTCAAGTGCTTGCCTTATAAATCCATAAGTCACACACTGAACATGCAATGTAGTGTATAGTAACATCCTTTTTACACATGGGACACTTGTGAGCCATTGTGAAAAAATATACTCAGGCTACAAAATACCAGGTAAAGGTTCAACCTCAGCTGAATTGAATGCTGATAGAATCTAAATAGAATCTGATCGCATTTATGTCTCAACCCTTTTTGTATATTTAGAATGTGTCTCTTCAGACTTTCTGTTGTAGTGGCTATGAATGCACACTTGTGACAATGATATCTTACTCCTTGATGTTAGGTTAGGTTATATCCAATATGTTTCCTGAGACTACTTGTTGTAGTAGCAGCGTATTTACATTGGTCTCAGGGATATCTTACTCCTTCATGTTTATATTTAACATGTCTCTTCAAATTACCTGCATCCGTGGCAGCGTAATCACACTGGTCACAGGGAAATCTTACTCTTTCATGCTTGTTTTCATTGTTTTCTCAAACTTATTACTGTAGTGGCTGAGTATTCAAATTGGTTACAAGGAGAGTTTGCAACCTCATGTATACTCTCAATATGTAACTTTAGATGACCCATTTGAGTTGCCACATAATCACATCTACCACAAGGATATTTTCATTCTATAAGTTCTCTTTCTCTGAGTCTTTTAAGTTTAGAGTTTTTAAGTGAAAAACAATATTTTTATTATTTATGACTTTGGTGTATTAATCTTTTAAAATGATGCCAGTGTTTATTATAAAAATGAAAAATAAGGAGAGGGGGGACAAAACTCTTTTAAATAGATGATGCACGATATACAAAACTTGAAGTTAGTGTCTGGCTTGACATGGTAGTTGAGCTGAGACAGCAGTGTAGTAGAGAAGGTTTTTAGGTTTGATGGGCAATTTTTGTAGGTCTGATGGGTTATTTTTGTAGGTAGGATTTGCACATTTTGAAGGTCTGATGGGCAATTTTTAGGGTCGGATTTGCAATTTTTATAGTTAACACTAAAGAAATATCTAAGTCTCATTTCAAGAGATATAATTGACAATTTTTACATAGCAAAATATGACTATGGTATCATGGGAGGAAAGACGAAAAGGCCCATAAACCTACAAGAAAATCTGAACCCAGTTGTTAAAAAAACATTATTAAATTTATTAAGTTTAGTTTAGTTTAATACTTTTTGACTGAGACATGAATTAGTCTCGTTTGATTTTTTTATCTGAAGATAATACGTAAAAAAGTCTTTTTTTAAATGTACGTAATATATGTGGATCTCTCACATCTTATATTTAGATCTCTTAAATATAGATCACCTTGCTTACATTTCTCTTCAATGCGATTTTACGCCAATCAATTTATGGTGAAATGCCCTAATATACTTTTCTGTTTATTTTGATGCTTTGTGTTTTTCATTTGTACATGAAAAAGTCCTATTTGAATGTGTTTCTTTCACATTTAGTCTCCAGATCTCATAAATTTAAACTACCTCGCTTACAACTTTCCCCCATGTACGCTTATGCTGATCATTTTTTTTGATCAAATGTCCTTTTCTGTTTTTTTTTCGCATTAACCCAAATTTAACAAGAATTTTTTCTTTTAAAAATGTGTCTTTTTTATCATCAACTACTTATACATTTTACGATATAAAAATAATTTATTCTATGCGAAACCCAATGATTTTGTTTTACTGTTAATTTTATCGTTGTATCGCTTAGAACCATAAGATTTATATAATAATAAATTTATTAAAATTACTTGTAAAATAGTAATAATTCTCTAATTTTCTCGACGTATTGACTCAATAAACATGATAAGAACTTTATAGAAACAATTTGATCATCTTATCTTCATTTTTTGTTTTCCCCTAAAAAGGGTGGATCTTAACTTCTCTAGTCTGAATTTCATTGATACCATATATTTATTTCCCCTTATAGTCTGCTTTGAATTAAAAGGTCATTGCTGATAATAGAAAATTAAGTTGTAATAAAGCAAAATTTTTAGAGGCATAAATAAGGGAGGGGGGCTACAGGAGCTCCATGCCCCCTCCTGGATCAGTGAAATATTTGCAGTTTCCATGTGATATGCAGCCTTCATCTTCTATGAAAAGGGAAAGGAAAAGGGAAATGGAAAAGGGAAGGAAAGTGAGAGGAGAAGGAAAGGGGAAGAGAAAGGTGTAGGGAAAGGGGAATGAGGAAGGAAAAGGTGAAAGCGGAAGGAAAAGGGGAAAGTGGAAGGGAAAGGGCTAAGAGGAAATGGGAAAGAGATAGGTAAAGGGGGAAAGGCAGGGAAAGGGTAAAGCGGAAGGTATAAGGGAGAGGGAACATATGGAAAGGAAACGTGAAAGAAGAAAAGGAAGGTGTATGGGTAAAAGAAGGGATAGGGGTAAAGAGTAAAGGGGGAAAGGACAGGGGAGAGAGGCATCCCACCGAAATTAATTACTCTGGATCTACAGAATGCATCCCCCACTAATCGACATGCCCCNATAGAAAATATTAGAACAGGCAAAAAAAAATTCTGTTGATGTCCAATTTTTCAGTTTTTTCACCAGAGTAACTCTTTCTCGTTTATTTAATTCTTTCCCCAGTTTGTTGATGTTTTCGTGAGAGAGGGGGGAATATCTTAGCCAAACCCAACTGTAACGGGTTTGTATCCCCACCATGAAAACTTTGGCTCCTGCCAAGTCATGGACTCTGGCAAAAATTTGTGGGTGCTGTGTCCCTCCCTCCGTAGACTCCGTGTAATTGGTGTAATCATGACAACGTATATTGTATTATTATTATTATATACTAAACAGTTTATAGTACTTTCTTTATCTCATTTGAAGCAATAGCACTAAGATCCGCTTGTATTGGTCCGTGTTATGACAAAGCCGTAAAATGGGAAATGCGCAAAACTTCTGCAATCCCGCGCACTGGTAATAATATTGAGTTGAAAATTTGGCGCACTTTACTGGACTAATCAACTTGTTATCATTAGTGAGCTTGGTATATTCCTAGTATACGATTTTTGGACCCCTCCCCCGTGCCCCCCTCCTATCAATTTTGTACATGGGTCTGACAAGAAGTTGTTATTTAGGGTTAGACACTTTCTGGGCCGAGCGCTGCGGCCACGGGTTAGGTTAAGTTGAGACACTTTCTGTAAGATACATGTACAAAATTGATAGGAGGGGGGCCTGGGGGGTTAAAAATTCGTTCTCTAGGAAAATACCCTAAAATAGGCTATTATTCCTATTAATTTTGTGCATGACCTATATTTCAACTATTTTAAACATAGAAAATATTTTATTTGTATTATTTCTGGGTTAGGTTAGGGTAGGACAATTTTTGGGTCGAGCGCTGCGGTTAGGACAGACCAGGGGGCCCAGTTCCGCGGCAAGAGCAGACCTGCAAGTTCGACGGGCTAAGGGGGCGAGCGCTGTGGCTAGGACAGGCTAGGGAGCCGGGCGCTGCGGCCTCAAGACCAACTTTATCCATTTGTGTCTTTTTAAAAATCGATAAAAATTATAAACAAAATTGATAGAACTAGGAATTTACCTAAAATATTGTAAGCTAAAAAGATAGGAGGGGGAGCTGGGGTCCAAAAATCCTAAACTGAAGTTACTGATCATCAAACCAGGCAATTATATCGCTTAGCATTATTTTTGTTGTATTTAAACTATTATGAATTTAAATGTTTACTTGTTTTTAAGAATTCAAAGAGTAATCACTTATTTTTCTGTTGAGATAAATAATCTGTTTTTTTTTGCAGAATAATGCCACCTGCCCTACACGAACTGTTAAACCGATCAATCGAGCTGATCGGCTCATTAGCTCTTGAGGATTTAGACCCTGTTAGTTTGTATAGCATTTTAAACAGATTTATTTTTAAATGGAAAAAATGTTTTCAAATATCTTCTGTGGTTCCCATAGAACTAAAACAGGAAGACAACATGTGTATTTGATTGATAAAGTTTGTAGATCCACTTATGTTTTCTAATTAGTTTGTGAATACTGCACAATTGCTGTGTTTTAAGATCATTGATTAACATAAAATCAAAAAAAGAGATTATCAGTCGTCTTTCTTTTCCGCAGTTTTATGTAGAAGCAAATGTATAAAAGATTACAAATTAAACATATTTTTCTTTTTTTACCTAATTGTTCTTTATAATTATTATGACGAGTGCGCGAGAGGATATAGAAGCACTTTTTAATCATTGAAATTTTAGAGTTGGGTTCAACAAGTCTGGGATTCCGAGTTCACACAAAAATTTGACATACCTGTTCATTACGAGGAAACAATTGAAGAATCTCACATCCTTAAAATCGTTCAAAGGTATACAATCTTTTCAGACCCTGTCATATTTCTGCGTTCTTAAATAATATTTTGATTTTATTTTTCTGAGAGAAAAAGTTTGAGGATATAGTTTCTTTAGGATTTAATTTCAACTGGTTCTCCATTTAAAATGTTAGATGCCAGATTAACAAAGGTAACTTTTAGGCGTTTATCTGAGTAACTATGAGAAATAGATCGCCGTTTTTCTATATTTGTCTTGTTTACAAAAATCCTTATGTCATTTTTGCAAAGAAACCACGATTAAAATATATCAATTATTAGATAGAAAATATTAGAACAGGCAAAAAAAAATTCTGTTGATGTCCAATTTTTCAGTTTTTTCACCAGAGTAACTCTTTCTCGTTTATTTAATTCTTTCCCCAGTTTGTTGATGTTTTCGTGAGAGAGGGGGGAATAAAATAACAAGGAAAAAATCGTAGGATTTTTGAAGAGCAAAGGCAAATATTTAAACTGGAATTTATTTAGGTTGACAAAATGTTGCGAGGAATACATGGTTGCCCTGGAAGGACCAGATCCAATTTTATCAGATTCAGGAAATATAGCAAACATATAGTTTTTGATGTTTATCAAAAATTTTGTCTAAGATGTGTTCTGAAGCGGTAACTTTCCAAATGTTTTGTTAGGCTTTGTAGAGGCGCCGCCGACTGCAAGGGGGGGGGGATTGAACGCTGCGGCAAGAAAAAGCTAATGGGCTGACTGGGACAGAATTGAGAATTAAGTCGAATGCAAGGGGGGGGATTGAACGCTGCGGCAAGAAAAAGCTAATGGGCTGAGCGCTGCGACTAGGACAGAATTGAGAATTAAGTCGAGTGTGGTTTGAGGCTCTTGAATTAAATAATTTTTGGAAAATTCTATCAATACTGATCTGATCTTCCATTGAGATTAAAATAAGGCTTTAAGCAGTGGCGTAAATAAAGGGGGTTATTGGGGTTATTTACCTCTACTAGAATCCTGGGGGACCCCCAGGATTACCCCTAGAATATAAAAATTAGATTTTTTTTTTTAAAGAGATTTTTTTGTCCCCAGGACATGATCGGGTTGTTACGATCAAATCTCGGAATTTTTTCTATTGCGAAAGTTTGGTGTTGTCTGGGTTTTTATATTGATCTACCAGGGGTTGTAATCTGGCAGCACATTCATCTATCCACGCTTCATTCATTCTGAGAAGAGGGTTGACTAGATTCCAGCTGCCTAAGATTCTTCTTAGGCCTGAGAATATAGAGTGCAGGAATCCATCTGATATACTGGAATGAGACCCGGGTGCCATACTGATAGGAAACATCACACTCATTGCACCCTAACATCTGTAAGCCCGGATTGGATACCCCCAGGTACCTATAGCTGGCAACCATAGACTCTCCCTGCTTGTCCACCATTCCTCTCTTCATCATCATTTACTTGGATCAATCCACTTAAAACTTCTTTCTTGTTGAGTAGAAAGCACGCACCCTTTCGCTGCGAGAGTTGTTGACAGCCGCCCCTCTGTCCTCCTACATCCGTCAGGTGGTCATAACTGCTTAACCAGATGTCGGCTTCAGATGTTTTTGACACCACAGGTTTTTGTGGAGTACGGGAATCGAACCCGTGAACACCAGTCTGGACACCAATCCAGTTACTGGCTGTGGACTAGTGTCCTTAACTTCAGTGATCTAACGAGAACTGGTGTCACACACTCTCCACCCCACCCCACTTAGATTTTAAAATTGAATTGAATATCTTTTAAATTTGCGCGAAAATAATTTAAATGTGCAGACACTTCATATATTTCAGATTTTAAGTCAACATATTCTAAGTGATTCTAAACTCTAAAGTAATAGTCAATGTCATTACAATTAGATGTTTTTTTTTAAATAGAAAAAAGGGTATGGGCAATGAGAAATACATTTTTACTTCTAAATAATGTCATTTTCATATTAGATTTATTTAAGATCTTAACATACTACATTGACGACAGGAAAATTTTAGAAATTAGAAATAAGAATTTGAACAAAAACAATATTTTTTAAAAGTTTTGCAGAGTAGCTTTTCTAAAGACTTAAAAAAGAAACATCTTTCTCCTCATAAAGTAAAACTAATTAAAAAAAATTTACCCACCACCTTAAAGAATCCTTATTTACTCCCCTGGCTTTTTTTATTGATTCTAGTTTTTAAAACTCATATCGACCAACTCGGGTCTAATTTTGATTTTTGAACGTTAAAGTTTAGACTAAGCTATAAATTGTAGCGGCCTCGGATAATATTATAAGCATTTAATAAACCATGTGTTTGCATAGTGGGAGAAACAAGTCCTGGAGCCAGTTTATCTTTTGCTAAGAAATCATTTTGGTCTGAACTCATAGGAATGCTCAAGTCTTCAGTTATACCAGAAAATTCTGTTTAAGATTTTTGATAATTAACAATTACATAATTATAAAAACAGGAAAAGTTAAAAATTTTATATGATTTTAGTAGTGCTTAGGATCCATTTAATTTTGATGCGGATGCGGATCCGGATCCTGGATCCGCACTGGAAAAAAATGGATCCGGATCCAAATCCGGATCCAGGTCATTTCTTTAAGATATACTGAATTTTTTTTAACAAATAATAATTTTCAATTTTTTGTTTTATTTTTTCCGCTTATTTTTATCCTAAAACTTACGAACCATTCAGAAATGAGGAATTTTTTTCAAAAGTTCAGATTTGGGTTTTAGGAGTAAAAAAGTTTTTTTTGCAGTTTTTGGTTACCCCTTGGATCCGGATCCAGGAAGCCAAAATCTTGCGGATCTAATGGATCCGGATCCGGTTCCTAAGCACTGGATTTTAGTATAGGTTTGGTTCATTCATTTTATGGAACTCGTAATTACTCCAGAGATATTTTTTCGATTTTTTGGCAAATATATTACATATTTAGGAAGTATAGATTTTGTCTGGTAGACATATGTTAATAAACATTTTTGTGAAGGCTTAAGTAACACAAAATAAAGTTTAAAAATCTACCTAACTTCGACAATGATATGAACTCGATGTTGAGCTAGATCAGAATGTAAAATACTCACATCTCATTGCTTTGCTGAGTCATTATATAGAGGCTGGAACTGAGGCAGCCTCTGGGCCTCATTTGTTGAAACTTGGGCTTACATGTGCCGGTAATCCATATTTATATTTATTGTTTATAAGACCGATCACAACTTAAATTTTTGTTTGAGAAAACCTCGAGAATATTTTGAGCTTGGTTTACAAGTATTAAGTTAAGTGGTTAACTTTTTACAGGCAGAACTAAGTTTGCTACAAACGGCTTGTTTGTATCCAATAAATGTCAAAACGGCTTAACTGATCAGTGATTAGGCTTAACATTTTTGTGGTAACTCGATCATGACCCTTTTGTTCTAATAAAGGTTATATGTTTTTTTGTAATCCAAGATTATAGATACAGTTTGCTGTTTAACTTGACATTTTTAAGTCGCAATCATCACTTGAAAAATGTGCTCAAAGCGCCTAAAAAGCCTTTGTTAATTTTTTTAATAAAGAAGAAAAATGAACGTAATTGAACATGCATTAAAGAAAAAAATATCATTAAAAAAAACAGCAGCAGGAAAAAAGTGGTGAGAGGGGGGGGGGTTATGTGTGCACCTAAAATAAGTTTAATTTTTGTAATTGATTTAGGATTATATGTATCGCTGATTACACTGCCTGGTAGCGGACCTTACAAAATATTTCATCCGGTTATTTACAGCAAAGCTTTGCAGACTTTACAAATTATTAAGAAGATTCCAGCTTTACACGGACTGCCAAGAAGGTACTTGAAATTATATACATCTGTATTAAACTGAGGCAATAAAATACGATCGGTAAAGGAAGCTTGGGCAATCCAGTCTCTTCTATTAATGCATTCCTATTGCGTCATGTGAACCAAGACTGAATAGTCGTGAATTTTATCAACAAAATTTAAAATTCTAAAAATGTTGAATCTAGCTGAATATTTTATTTGATTTTCAAGAGGAAATCAACTAGTTGGCAGAAAATTCGCAAAAAAATGGAAGTAATTCGTTGCCTTCAATGCTTTTTACATTTGAAAACTATTCTTAAATTATACATTTTGCATCACTTGGGTAGCGAATATCAGAGATATAATAGTGTCTTATGTTCGTTAAAAACTGAGAAATTTATTTATTTTGTATAATTTGAACCATCCCAACCGAAGTCTGGAAAATAGTTAAGACATCATCAATTTGATTTGATTTTGCAGAAGTAGTGCAACCTCTAGTCAACAAGCATCCCAGGGCCGCAAGAATCAGAAAAAGTCTTCATCCCAAAGATCAAGCCAACGTCAGTGTCAGGTGAGAGCAAATTTAGTCCTGAGGATAATATAATAATACCATTTTGATCAGGACTCTTAGAACTAGTTCTTAGGATCCATTTTATTTTGATACGGATGTGGATCCGGATTATATTTTGATACGGATGTTGATCCGGATTTCATGTAGTCCAAATCAGACAAAGCTTTAAATGGCACCATCTATATAATAAAACTCTTCGCTTAAATATATATTTAAGAAAATAAGTATTCGAAACATGATTTGTTTTATTGTATCGACATTATGTTTCATGCTAGACATTCTTTAATATAAATATATATATTTATATGATTTCATGTAGTCCAAATCAGACAAAGCTTTAAATGGCACCATCTATATAATAAAACTCTTCGCTTAAATATATATTTAAGAAAATAAGTATTCAAAACATGATTTGTTTTATTGTATCGACATTATGTTTCATGCTAGACATTCTTTAATATAAATATATATATTTATATGTTTGTTGTAGCTAGCCAAGTGGCTGAACCAAATTGACTGAAATTTGTTTAAGGATTAAAGGCTAAACAAAATTATTTATCAAAATTCATAATTTTTTAAATTTGGTTTTTAAATGTGTTTTAAAATTACACGGGCAACGTCTGGCACTTCAGCTATTTGTCTATTGATGGAAAGTCGCTTAGTATTTTCTCTGCAGTCCTTTTAATAATGAATTGTGGTGTATGACAAAGTGAATAAATACTAAAGTGGAACAGACTAAGGCAACGACGACAGGTTGGGCCATAAAGTTTTATTTGGTTAGGAAATAATTGCAAAAAAAAAAATTCTTTTGGAAAGTAAAGACTAGAAAAAATATACTAAGGATCCATGTAAATGTCGTCATCAGCTAGAACTTAAAAATTTTCATAATCAAAAATAAAAAATTTCGTATGTTTGTATGTGTTTATATTCAAATACTATAAAGTCGCTTAATAAATTCATTAATTTTGCCTGGCAGGCTTGCACTTCTAATTCTATAAGAATTTATCTTTAAAACTGCTTAGTTTTGTTTTGCCCCCCCCCCCCCTTAAAAAGAAAAAGAAATGTAAGCTCTTCCTGCGAAAAAAACCTCAATACGCCTCTCTTAATATCTATAAAGCTATGTCTAGTTCTCAACTACTCTTAAATCTGTCAAAATACAAAAGTGAAGACCAAGAGATATATTTTGAATTGATCTTTATTTTTCGATATCACAAATTCTGAATTCCTTGTTTTTCAGATTATGTATGCAGGCATTATTGTGCTGTCTGAAATTATTTATTGTGCAGTAAAATGGCTAAAATTCACTTCTAAACTATATTTAAGTTAAATACAAATTCTAAGTCTGTGTTTGTAAACATAGGGAGTCCAGTTTCTGTTGTATACTGTGCACTCTGTACAGACCAATTTATATATATAAATATATATTATTTTTAAATACTTGGGACATAAAATGTCGTCATCCAACTATAAGTTTGGCCCACTTTAGTATTTAATCACTTTGGGTGTATGATGTATGTTTATGTAGAACGAGGATGAAGATGAGGAAGAAGAAGGACTAGAGTTAAGTTTAGAGGATCAGGATACGCTCATCGTTCTTTTGCTACAGGTTGCTACAAATTATAAATCTGTATTTATAATTTTTTTTTTATGTGGGGGGGGGTAAAGAAAACTGCATCAAAAGCTTTATAATTTTTCAGATTTTTCCTCATTTGAAGCTTGTTAATAGCGGGGATTAATGCGGGAGGTGGTAGAGTTACATTTCTATGAATTTTGGGGAATAATTTAAGGGAAAAGTAATTTGCCAGGTGTAGACTGCATGTTGATGCTCTGCACCCTGAGGGCGGTCTGGGGGTTCCATGTCGGGTTCCCTTTCAGATCTAATAATTATTCTTATTCTTATATACAGTTTGCTGTTTAACTTGACATTTTTAAGTTCTCCTTATTTATTGTTTTTGAACTATTCAGCTGGTGACTGCTGTTGAAAAACTGTTGGAGTACTCTAGTATGAAGAGAAGCATGGAGTCCCTGGAGCTCACTATCCGGACCCTTCTCAACCTGGTTCGTCTAGAGACATCCACAGGTTAACTACCAATATTAAAGTGACTGTTGACGTGCTTTCAAGTCACTTTTTCTCCACTCCTTTTCCCCACCTAGAATATAGTAATGTTTTAGGGTTGTATTGTTGGAAAAAACAAATGATTTTTATGATAAAATAAACAAAGTATCAAAAAGAACTTGCCTGTGGATGTACAATTAAAAAGTGTCTTCCAGGATGACTGAAAATCATTTCCCCCTCCCCCCTGTTTTTTTTGTGTCAACTAGCATGACCGCGGGGAAAGTTTATTTTTGGTGGAAATTAAAAAAATGTTGCTTGAAAAAAATGTCAACATTTATGATATTTAAAAATCCACCAATTTTAAGAAAAAAATCTGTCAAATTTTGAGTTCAACATTCAACAAATACGACAAAAAATGGCGACTTGAAAAGCAAAATTTGAACGCTAATATTGTCACTAGAAGAGTTTATTTAAACAGATGCCTCAACCCTTTTAGCTATTTGACGCTTTTTGAATTTTTAAGAATTAAAATATTTCAGTGCTAAATTTGACAGTGAGGTCTAGATACAGAGAAGCAACACAAGCTTTGGCGTACAGGTAAAAAGTCTTATGTCATTTTGACTGTTTTAAAATCATTACTTATTCCTCATCATTACTAATCATTACAAAGGATCCAGGATCGAGGATCCAGGATCGAGGATCCAGGATCGAGGATCCGGGATCCAGGATCCAGAACCAGATCTTAAAGAAATAGATGCTGATCACTGCTTTAATCTTTGATTTGATTTTAGTTCTCTGCTGGCCTTACTTCAAATTCCAACATTAAAGCAGTTGCATGGAGATGTTAACGAATGCTCTTCTCTTTTGTTTAACGGTATTTAATATTTATTCTACTTAGATATTTGCTTGTTTGATCTAGCTTGGGAATCCAGCTTGGCCGGAAATTTAGCCATTCCCCCTTAAAGTCAACCTACTTACAATCGGACAAGGGTAACTAATTTATTATCGGAAATACAAACATTAAACAACCAGAGCAGGGTTCCATGATTATAAGAAATTTCCCGATGAAAATGTTCATGTTACGACGAAAGGTTTAACTGTCATCAGAGGTAAGTCTATTAAATGATTGTAGGACAAATGACATAATTACATAAGTAAGTTAACAATAAGTTTGTACACTGCACTGTACACTATGTCTATATTTTGTAACTCGTGCTCCCTTCAGTTTCAGTATTTCGCCAATAAAAACTTAAATCTCTAAATCTAAAATATTTTTTAATTGTTTTTAGGATGTCCTAATGCCCAATTTCTCATTTTTAAATTCCAATAATTTCTTGTTCTTCTTGATTCGAAATCAAAAAGTTTATTTTCATATTGATTTAATGTTTGGGATATTTACAGAAAAGAAGAAATCGGTTCAAAGGGGCATTCTTCTAAATACTATTTTGTTGAGATGGTTTACATTTTTAATTTCTTAGATAAATGTTCGAACCTGATAAAGCTTTTGTTCTTATTTCTTAGATAATTGTTTGAACCTGATAAAACTGTTGTCTGAGCGTGTATCTGGAGAACTAGGTGAGAGTCTGCTTATCATGGTTCAGCAAGTAGCAGCTAAAGTCCCGGATAAAGCGGATTACAGGAAAAATCAATAAAATATTTTTTTCTATTAATAGCATACGTCATCGATGATCAGATTAAAGGGAGTGACCGGCAATGTATGATGGTTGAACTGAATATTTAGTATTGCGGACAAATTTTTAGGATATTTGAGACATTAAAACGTTTCTACAACGTATATTTACTGAGTTTGAGCGCAAAGTCGACGTTCAAAATCATGAATTTGGGTGGGTACCTTTTCAGAAGCTGTTTTTAAATTATTAATTAACGACGACAAAAATGTAAACAAAATTTTACAGTTCAGGAACAGGTTGAGAAAATAAAAAGTTAACTCTTTTCATCGATAATAAGTTATCTTATTCAATTATTGGTTTCTCTAATCTCTCATTATTTATTAAGATTTTTTGTAGATTTTCTGGATTTTTTGAAAAGACGACATTTGAAGAATTTCTAGAAATCTGCAAACAAATTCATAGAAAATAAGAAATTCAGTAAAATGATGAAAACGAAATAATTGATTCTAACATTGATTTATTGACCTTTTGACAAATATGTTTCTATACATCTAATTAGTTTACGAAATAATTTTTACTTTATTTTTTTTTTTGGGGGGGGGGCAATTGATATTATGGCTTTAGTCCCTTAAAGGTCATTCATTATAAATGTGTTCCCCCGGCCCTGTGAGAAAATAAAAAAAACGAAATGCACATTGCACACTATCAATGGATGATAGTTAACTAAAAACTGGGGGTCACCTACAGAAAGTAAGAAATTAAATTTGTCAAATTCAATTATAGAAAACTTCCGTATATTTTCATTTCTGTTTAGATATTGATAATACGAAATTTCCTATATATTTCACTTTTATTTAAATGTGTTTCTTTGCCAGTCATGTAGAAAATTTTTATAGTTAAATTTATCTCATGTTAGTTTTCCTAGGTTTTTATTTAAAATAATTTTGATTGATTTATAAAGACGAGAGGCTGGCGGATCTATTATGCTTCTTCTATCCTTGTTCGATGCAGCCAACTTCAGGTCAACGCAACAAGATAATTAAGACAGGGCTAAAAACTTTCGGAAGAAATCATTTTGCCCTCCACCCTGTTATAATTTGTTTTTTTCCTTTTTTGATACTGTTTCTTTAAATTTTGTATTCATAATCAAATGTAAAATTCATATTTAGAATTATTTTTTGCTTTACCTTTTGGAAAATAGAAATTAAAATTGATTCACATTACAGAATAATTTATTTATACTAATGTTTGTTAGTCCCTTGATTTAATGTTTCCTGTGTTCTGTTTAGTGTTGCTTTACGTTGGTTCATCCAATACTCGATGACTTCGAAGACGAGCTCGAGGATTATTTCTCTGGAGGTTTTGGGTCGATTAGTGGAAGCACTGCAGGCGACAGGTAAATTTTAGTGGAAGCATTGCTGGTGCCAGGTACATATTAGTGGAAGCACTGCAGGCGACAGGTACATTTTAGTAGAAGCACTGCAGGCGATAGGTACATTTTAGTGGAAGCACCGCAGGCGACAGGTACATTTTAGTGGAAGCACTGCAGGCGAAAGGTACATTTTAGTGGAAGCACTCCAGGCGCCAGATACATGTTAGTAGAAGCACTGCAGGCACCAGGTACGTATATCAAGAATATTGGTTAGTGGAAGCACTGGAGGCACCAGGTACATGTTAGTGGAAGCACTGCAGGCACCAGGTACGTATATCAAGAATATTGATTAGTGGAAGCACTGCAGGCACCAGGTACATGTTATTGGAAGCCCTGTAGGCACCAGGCACATATTTCTAGAATATTGTTCAGTGGAAGCACTGCAGCCACCGGATACGTATATCAAGAATATTGATTAGTGGAAGCACTGCAGGCACCAGGTGCATGTTAGTGGAAGCACTGCTGGCACTAGGTACATGTTAGTGGAAGCACTGCTGGCACCAGGTACGTATATCAAGAATATTGATTAGTGGAAGCACTGCCGGCACCAGGTACATATTTCTAGAATATTTAATAGTGGAAGCACTGCAGGTACCAGGTACATATTTCTAGAATATTGTTCAGTGGAAGCACTGCAGGCACCAGGTACATATTTCTAGAATATTGATTAGTGGAAGCACTGCAGGCACCAGGTACATATTTCTAGAATATTGATTAGTGGAAGCACTGCAGGTACCAGGTACATGTTAGTGGAAGCACTGCAGGCACCAGGCACTCATTTCAAGAATGTTGAATAATCCGAATCTTTAAATATCAAAAGTTTAAGATCGTTTCTCTTTTTTTCTGTCAAATTATTATGGTTTTAGTATTTCCTAACAACTCGAATAGATTTCCAGAGCCCGCGATTTAAAAACTTCGGCTCAAGTCGTAATTCCTTAAACCCGACTTTAAGACCCAATCCCCAATCTAACGACAGCTTGTGTCACGTGATTGACAGCTGCAAGATCTTCGGCTCGACTTAAAAGAGTTATAGGCCCAATGAAAATAAAACCGACCTTGGTTGGTTTTAGTGGAGAATAAGGCTTAATATTGAGTAATGTTTTCATAAAAACCTGAAGTGTGCCAATTTCTACCATGAAAATCCGCCAAATAGAATATTAAACCGGTTTTTTGAACTCAACTCTGTGAAAAATAAGATGCAGCTTGAATCCGAAAGCTCAAGCCGTAAACAAGGCCCAACGACAGCTTAGACCCGAGTCGTATTTTCCCGAATTTTTTAAACCGCGGACTCAGTTTAAAAAAAAAATTATGTACAACGTATTTTTGCTGATCTGGGCGAATTGTTTTTGAAAAATTACATTTAAAAAAACATAAAATTAAAGGGTATTCAATTACTCTTCTTGCGATTTTTAAATAGCTTAAAAGCTGTACCTTTGTAATTATTTTGGAATTTTTAAAAGTTTTTGAAAAATTTCAGAAAGGGAACTATAGAACTTTCGTTATTTACAAGGAAAATGGGCAATTGATCAATTACTTCTAGCTGGCGGTTTCTATAGCAGCCAAGATTTGGATTGTTATTTATTTTCTGTTTATTCACCTCCCACAGAATATTCTCTACTTAATAGGGAATATGCTAACTTTTGCATTCGCCAACAAGAAGTGACACGAGTGATCAAAAACCAAAAGCCAGAAAAGTTTACTTCAAATTCTTGTATTATTTGCGCATTTTTTACTTAAACATTTGCAGATCGGTACAAACCATAAAAAAGACGGAGATACTGGGTGTCCCAATGAACATGGGAATCCAGTGACGAATTCTATATCGTCTTTTTAAATAATTCTTTGATTTAGTATAGTGATACCTACAGAGAAAGCTGTAATCTGTGAGAGTTTCGTCTGCTATCTTCACATTTTGTTTGTTTATGTTTGACTGCATACGGTTGTACTTAGTAAAACAAGAAAATTACAGTGTACAAACTTGTCCGTCTTCACTGTTCATCTTGCGGAGACATTATAGTCACATATTTGCAGTCTTTTACCCTTTTCATAAAATAAACTCTAGCAGACATAATAATATTATGGCTTTTGAAATTAGGTATTACAATGCTAATTCATAAGAAAGACGATATTGAATTCGTCACTGAATTCCCATGTTTATTGGAACACCCTGAACTCCCGCAATAATGTTAAAATAAGATTTAAAATGTAATATTTTGAAGGATCTAGCGATGAGCATAAGAACATATTAACCGAATATTCAAGATTAATATTTACCAGCATATATAACAGGTATGTTCTTCGGGGTTCTACTACAGTCGCCGTCGTATATATCAATAGCATAAAAACGACTTTCGATTTCAATTTTTGGTTTTTACCAAGCTTTTTAAACAGCATTTATACAACAAGGAAACAAATAGAAGATGTTAATTAACATCTTCTCTTTGTTTATTTGTAAACTTATAATTTGTAAAAAGTTTGTTAGAAATCAAAACTTTAATAGTAAAGTCGTCTACATTGTATTGTACATAGTCACAAGTAAAAGCAATTCTTTAAAATGTAAGATTTAAACCTGCTTCCTCCTGGATTTGGTTAAATTAAGGCAAGTTGAAGCAGAAGCGAAAATAATTTCTATATTTTTGTAAAGCCTTCACAAAGAACTTGTAATATTCACAGTGGTAATTAAAATTATTGCTAGCTGGGACAAATTTCTGTATACGTTCCTGATGTAGATATATTTTTGAATTATTTAAGTTATAGAGTTATTATAAAAAAAAAATGATAAATATGCCGCTTAATGAGAAGTGATGTATGTTTAGAACCAATGATACTGCTCCTTCAGTAAAAACGCAAGCGCTAAAAGTGTTAGGTAAGCCAAGTTTATGTTGTTCTAGCTTGGGAACTCAGCTTTGCCTGGAATAAAAGTCTGACTACTCAATTTAGAACTTTTATACCAAGCTAAGAACATTTCCGTGACCCGATCAATTTTAGTCAAATCGGTCAAGGGGTTCATGAGTTAGGATCGGAGATTTCTACTTTCCATATATAAATGGTTCCTTGATAATCTTGAGAACTAAAATGGACTTTAGACGTGAAAGACGTAATTTCAAAAGTGGTATGCCAGATTCCCAATGGTATTCTTTAAACCTGCATCTGAGCAAGGAACTATACACAGGAACGCCCAACTCAGATATACGCATATTATTTACTGTACACTGTGTGAGGAATGTAAACAAACTCAGTGCCCCCACAGAAGTTGAATGGAAAGGACTAAAGCTCTGATGTGATATTACAGTCCAACAAAATACAAGTTAATATATCAAGTTAGAGAGAATACATATGATTTTTGACTTTCTGGTCAATATGGAAAATACAATAGCAATATATTTTTATTCCACCCTTTTCCCTCAAAAATGATGCGTTTCCCCTGAATTGTTTGTTTTGATCTCCTCCCACTGCAGTACACAGATTTGACGCATGAGATATGACGGTTCCTGGTCTATATATTTCTTGCATCTGAGTAACAATGAGGAAATATTGTTAGATCTTAAGACATGTGTTTTTCATTTTAGTCGCAGCAGCACAAATCCGCAACCCACAACTCACAATTTAATATAATCAATTATCAGCCAGACAAATAAGGATTTCTCATTCATCCTTGATCAGACAGAGGTTTACAGTTTACCGTTGTGAATCAGATGTGTAACTCAATAGTCTATCAATGGAGGGTACAGTCCCTTTAAAATCAAATTTTATTTACGGAACTATTGTGTTTAAGGGGAGATGACAGCTAGTCAAAGTGCTGCAGTGAAAACACTACTGATACAGGTTAACTCTATATAGCAATTAATGAAAAATATTATATTTTCAATGTTATTGTTGTTGAAGAACTTGGGTGAACAACATGTACATTGTACATAATTACTTAGATTTAAATTCCTTGATTTTTTATTTCTCTGTTTTCAGATTGAACATTTTTATTTGCCTAGAAATTTATTCCATGTTAAAGAACTCTTTCCTCCTTAAACAATTGGTTTTCTGCATTTTGCATGTAAAACTTCAGGAACGTTGGAAAAATTCTTTTTTAACATTAAAATTGTCAAATTATGATTGAATTCCCACCCAAAAAATCATTAGTAGCATCCCTGCGACCTGGGACGGCTTACGATATTTTCCCGGGGGGGGTATAATATATACATCTGTGGAAAGGAGGAGGAACTAGAGCAGGTGGACCCTCTACCCTTGTGGGTTGACTTTGTGAATAATATTCAGCAGAAAGCTCTGGATACTTCAGTCTTTGTACGCAAATCTGCTCTAACAGGAACTAATAGCATAAATTTGTCTCTACTTAAAATCAGTATAATTTAATAAATTTTTCTTAATACAAAGGTTTAATTGAATCCTTTGTGAAATCCTTTAAAATACGTTGACAGTCCGTTTGAAATTTAAGAAAGTTATCTTAAATCGTGATTCACAAGACGTGTGATCTGGATCTGATAAAATATAACCTCAAGTTCTGAAAAGGCTGCTTTGGGACCCAGGTGATAACAATACAAAAGACAAATATAAATGCTTTTCGTTTTTAGTGCTTTCTAATTTATTACGAACCAGTGGAAACTATAGTTCAGAGTTACTTCAGGTTCTCTCAAAGCACTGCAGGGATCCAGCTATATCAGCAAGGTAAAAATTAGGAAAGTGTAACACCCCCGTCCCCCCACCAAAATCAAACATTGTGCATTTCTCACCTAATTTTCAATTAGGTCCTCATGCCAAATGCCAGACGCATACTCAGTCATCATACCCATTTCTCACGCGCTTGTTTCTGTAAATATCCACGGTTCATTTATAGTCTAGGAACAGGGAAAGCACGTCTTTCGGTGGAAACTGAAAAAATAAATCACAATTTTAATCAGTTCCACATAATTTAACAATTTTTAAAGCAATACCATCAACTAAACATTATTTTACAATCAATCAATCACACGAATGTATTAAAAAGAGTGCTTACATTTGGTGCATCGACTGAGTGGGTGGAGCACCGTCCACGTAGGTATATTTCTTGACGAGACTGTTTATTTAAACGGATCCCCTTATCTCTGAAGGTTTACTCCGTAAATAGTTTATATTAGATTTAAATTCACTTTAAATCATCGTTTAACACACCTGTTATCGTTCTGGTCAGAGCTCACTAGACCAGGAGGGTATCTGTTTCCTGGTTTGAGAATATCTGGCTCTCCCCCCAGGTTCAGCATACACCTCTTCAGCTCCAAACTAACAGGTTGTCAACTCCAGAATAAGAACAACAATCTCCCTTCAATCTTCAACTCAATATCAACTCTCTCCTTCAAGTCCTGAACACGTTAGAGTAGATGATAGTGTAAAGGTTGGAAACTAGATCTACTCAAGAGAGAGAACACTGGATGTCTGAATATATATTTGCGTACAATGTGTTTAGTAAAGTACAAAGAGGGAGTTGACAGGAACTGGTCAACTTCCACGTAAACATAAACAGGGATAAATATGATAAATATATATGAATAAACTGGTCCTCCATCAACAATGTTTTTCTAAAGGGAGGAGAAATGGTGCTTTCAAGAAAATACGCACCCCTGCTCCAATATTTTTCTAAAGAATGGAGAAATGGGGAGTTGTTTCAAGAAAATACGCACCGCTGCTGGGCTTTAAAGTTGCATTTTGATTTTATTTGATTTTTTCTTCGTTTTGTTCGAAGCGGTGGAGCCTATCCGAAGCCAGCTCATTCGTGATTTTTCAACGGAATCTGATTCTGGCTAATTCTAACCACTTTTCTACTCTATGGCTCATTTTTTTTTAGAGGAGAAGTACATTAAACCCCTGTTAATCTAGGAAGCAGATGTTGGTGACAATGTTTGATTTGATCATTCAAAATCCTGAAGAAGAGAGGCTTCTAGACTCCTGGGTAATAGCTGCCTTTCCCTTGGTCAAAGATGTAGAGTCAAAGGAACAAAAACACATTTTAGTAAATTTTAATTTTTAATTCAGCTCTGGTTGAAAAAAGATGTTTTTTTTTTTTAATTATTTAATTTGATTTAATTTAATTTATTTAATGATTTAAAATTAAGACCCAAAAAGAGATTTTAGGCGTCAAATTTTTGGTAAAAAAGTGTCAAAATGTTTAAATGGGATGTGACCATATTCTGTATTTATTACCTATTTAGGAATGTTAATCATGTTGTATTTAAAAAGTGTTTGTTTGTTAGATCAGTGAAAAGATTATTGAGAACCTGTATGAGTGTATTGTTATAAATGTTGTACCTCTTGCAAGGAATTCTTTATTTTCACTAAAGCTTCGCAAAAGAAAGTCCAAATAAGTAAAATAAGACGAGAAGTGGTTCTAAAACTTTGCCTAACTTTTAATAGCTGTCTCTAAATGAACATGTGTGTCCATGAAAGTCTGAACGATTGATTGATTCATTGGTTTATTGATTATTTGTTTGATTCATTGATTCATTGATTCATTGATTCATTGATTCATTGATTCATTGATTCATTGATTCATTGATTCATTGATTCATTGATTTATTGATTTATTGATTTATTGATTCATTGATTTTGAGACTTCTTAAAGCCCATTGATGACCTTGTTGCTGATCAATTTTATTTTGATTAACTGAAGGATGAAATAATATAAAGCATGTTATTTTGTAAGTAAAATATGAGGCGATAGTTTTTCGGAAGCTTTACCCAATTTCTTGATGTATTTTCCGGCAAAATAATATTCACTCAATTAGTTACCCCCTGTTTACTAAAAAGAAAAGAACATTGCCGGTTGGCAGACGGATGTCAAAAAAAAGGCAAAACTTGAAGAAAAAACCGGTTTTAGAAAATATTAATTTTTAAAGAATGAAAACTCCCCTCCACTCTCTACCCTGGAGTATACTGAGAGCAGTTGAACGACATAATATGGAGCTCTATCTTGCACAGGTATTAGTTCAGTTAAGGGGGAAATATTTTAGGTTAATCTCCAGGAAAGATGGCAATATCTGATTCACAACTGTACCCTTGGAACGTTTATCTGATCAATAATATGAAAGATATTTTCGCCTTCGAGTTTTAACAGTGTTTAATTCTGATCATTTATATATATTTTCCTGCAGTAGAAATGCCCAAGTCACTTTGTAGAAAAACCTCATTTGAAATCAATAAGTTTCCAAAACTAAAAACATTGATATCTCATTTATACTTGATCAGACAAATCTTTTAAGGGTACCGTTGTGATACGGGCATTGCCGTATTTGCAAAGAGGGTCACTTAAAATTACGCTCACATTCCCTTTAAAGCTCATTTCTTCCCCTTCCTAGTAGTGGCTAGTGGCCAAGTATGTTTGGAATATTAATTTTCTTTATTGCTGAATTAGGGATAAATTTGCAACTTTTGGGTTTTAAGTCAAGTATTAAAAAAGTTGGGGATATCTTGCCATCTAATGTTTTTTTTTAATTGAAGTTGAATTAATCAAACTAAAAATGTTAACTTGATTGGAACTAACATTGATAATTTCTTATCTTTTTTGTTTTGATTTAAATGCCCAATTTACAATCATACCCATAAAATCTTTGTCTGATCAAATATGAATTAGATGTTTTAGATTCTTTATACTGATTATGGTAATTTCCTAAGAACGATTTTTGGGCCCCCCCCCCCCCTCATATCAATTTTGTACATGGTATATCTTATGTAACACATTGATACATCTTATCATGCGTCCGGCCCCCTAGCCTGTCCTAGCCGCGGCGCTCATCTCCCTAGCCTGTCCTTGCCGCAGCGCTCGGCCCAGGAATTGGCTTAACCTAACCTAAACCTAAAATAATAAAAAAATAAGTAGTAATAATTTTGCTGAAAAATAAGTGGTCATGTTCTAAATTGATAGGAAGAGGGGGAGGATGGGGTCCAAAAATCGTATACTAGGACAGACCCCTGATTATTTTCATTTGCGGTTTCATCAGGGGTTTTAGGGGTACCGTTGCCATTTTTGCATGGAGGTAAGGAGGTAGGTTAGTAAGTAGGTAACTAACTAACTAACTAATAAATCGATTGACAATTCCAAAGTTATATTGGTTGATATTTGAGGCTGTATGTAGCTGGGCCAAAGAGAAAAAGATAAGTGCAGATCATATCAACAACCTGCAGACCTATCTCGACTCAGAGCATAGTGTTCAAGCTTGGTTCTATCTTAGGCAATAGTTCATTCAAACATTTCAACTCAATGGGGGTGGGGGGGGGGAGTATTTGTCAAGTTTTCCTTTTTTTAGATGTTTTATTAAATAATGCTTTTTCTTATTCAACCCTTAAAAAGATCAATATATTTTATATAATCTGAAATATTTCATTTACAAAGCCTAAGTTGTTAAAAAAAAAAATTTAATTGTTTTGTTATTGACATGGAAAATTTTTAATTAATGCTTCATTTCTTCTAGAAAATGAGAGAAAAATGACGCTCAGTTGGGAATATTTACAGTTTATTTTTCCCAATTCTAGGTGTTAATTACAGGAGTGTATATTACTTGTGAGACTCATATTTTTGCCCCCCCCCCCCTTTCAAAGTCACATTTTTTCCCTAAATCCACGACTTAAAAACAGGTGTATTTTAAAGGTTTCTGAATCTTGGCAAACTTTTTGTATTTAGTAGTATAATGGAGCGTTTTGGTGCCCTAAAAAGGTCAACTTTAAGGTCCCCCCTGAGAATTTTTTCTCTTCCCCCTTTTTCCCTTCCCTCTTTCCTCTTTTCCCTTCTCTCTTCCCACTTTTCCCTTCCCTCTTCCCCTTTTTCCCTTCCCTTCCCCCTTTCTTCTTTGCTCTTCCCCCTTTCTCCTTTGCTCTTCCCCCTTTCCCCTTTCCTCTTCCGGGTCCCCTTCCCTCTTGCCACTTTTCCCTTCCCTCTTCCCCTTTTTCCCTTCCCTTCCCCCTTTCTTCTTTGCTCTTCCCCCTTTCTCCTTTGCTCTTCCCCCTTTCCCCTTTCCTCTTCCGGGTCCCCTTCCCTCTTGCCACTTTTCCCTTCCCTCTTGCCCCTTTTCCCTTCCCTCTTACCCCCCTTCTCTTTGCCCTTTTTCCTTAATTCTTCATCCAAACCATAGATAAATAAATAAACATAGATAGCTTATGTATTGTACAGTCCGCGAACTCATACTTCTAGGGGTCAAAGTCTACTTCAATGATGAGCGGGGTGGTTTGGTGTTCTAATGGATTTCATAATTATTAAACCTCTCAAGAGTGAATTTTATTTCAATGAGCAATATATCATATTGACGAGAACTGAAGAAGGACATGAGAAGGACTAAACTAACTTAAATTTCTCTTTACAGAACTCATGTACACCACAAGTACTCATTGACATAAGATCAGCCAATGTTCACAACCAACCTAGTTAATCTATGTAATAGGAATATCTTTAAAACATCTCTGTACATTTATATCTTTCAAGATGAAAAATGTCGTCTTATGCGCAATCTATCTTTATCTATGATCCAAGCCAAATGAAATCTCATATATACACCCCTGATCAATGATAATTGGCCTAAAGGCCTAAACTTGAATGAATGTTTGTTTGTTAGTATGTTGACCACCTATATACCATGTAGTAAGCCAGGTTTTGTATTACAATACTTTAGTACAGCTCTGAATTCTTCAGATCTAGGTCTTAGCACTCTTCTCCAGGTCTCAAAGGTAACCAACCATTTCTTCTATTATCTACTTAGCATGTCTGTTTGTCTTTTTGTTTGTATCCAATAAACGTCAAAACGGCTGAATCGATCGGGCCCAAATTTTAAGTGGGACCTCACATGACTACAGAGAAGGTTTATGGATGCTCAGAATTACAAAAAAGTGTCTTCATTTTTGATTCTCGTAAAATTTTGAAAGTCCACGAAAATAAATTTTATCATTGTTTTATAGAAGAGAAAATGCTGAAAGGTTAAGCAGCAATTAAAAGTTAAAATATAAACTGGGCTTGTACAGTGTAATTGTATTGCAAATAATATAAGCAGTATCAGTTTTTTTTTATAAATGTACAAGGTTTGGGATTAACTCCTTATCATCAATTAATAAATTTTTTTTTTCCAACAGACGTTAAAAAATTATTTTTGTGACATGACCACATTAAAGGTTTATCGGCGGTCAAAATTCAAAAAGTTTTCTAATAAAATTTCGAGTTTTTAAAATGTTGTATCTATCAATGAAAACAGAAAAATTCGCAATACTTTACATTGTTTTTGATGTAATTCATAGAAAAAGTAGTTTGAATTTTAGTATCCCTAAAAAGATATGAAGTTTTCAAATATGCTTAAAGGGAGAGTCTGGCTAGACAAGGTTGTTAAAATGTCTCATTGGTATCAAATGACTCCTAAAGTTTTTCTCTACCATACTGCACTCAACTACCATGTAAACTTACAACAGTAATGACCCCCCCTTCCCCCATTCTCAAGTTGGTAGAATTTTTTTTTTTTTTTTTTAACTTTATAAAAGCTTGAATTTTATTTGTTAGGTTCTGTTAGCAAGTGTGAATTATCTCTCTAAGGAGGAACAGAAGACCTTGAAGACGGATCTCATTGATCTAACCTCAAGGAATAGAGATTTTTTTCTTTTTGTAACAAAAATATTTCCCTTTTGTGTCGATTAAAAAAAAATATTTGACAGTTAAAGTTGAGGAAGAACTATTATTTTTAGAAAATTTAAAAAAATGATACAATGTTAAAGCGCATGTTCATGAATTTTTATTGTGTGAAATCTTTTAAGATGAAAAAATCCAGGAAACCTAATGATAAATATAAACTGGAAAATCAAGGAAACCTAACGATAAATATAAACTGGAAAATGAAAATAATCTGTCTTCATCCAGTTTCAGTCTTCCCGTCGAAATTATTCCCAACAGTGTGGATATCATAACTGTTATACTAAAAAAGGAGAATAAGGACATAAAGGTAATTTTGATATCCCTATAGTAAGCTGATTAGTAAGTGGGGTTATTTATGATTAATGTATTGCTTATTTTATGAACAATTATTCACAATCTTATTTCGTACACTTCATGCTCAATTTCATTTCCTGGATTTTTTTCGGAATTTTCGGTGATTCAAATCTCATTTAAGTTCACGATAACATCTTGGGTTTAAGTGACTGGCTATGTATGGTAGTTGAACTGAGTACGCAGTGTTGTGGAAAGCTTCTTTCGGATTCATTTGAGACGTATTAAACGTTTTAAAGATCTGTAAATCCTGAGTTTGAGCACAAATACGATGTTAAAAACCCCTACTTTGGGGGTGGATACGTTTTCAGAATTAGTTTTTTTTAAATTATTGAATAACGTCGACATAAAATGTAAAAGAGTTCTACGATAAACTACAGACGTCATGTATAGGAACATGTTGAGAAAATAAAAATTAATCTTTTCATCGAAAATAAGTAATCTTGTTCAATTATTAGTTTCTATTATCTCATTATTCTGGTTTGAACCAGAAACG